TTAAAACAAAACCAATTATCATTTGCATAACTTGAATGGTGGTCAGCAACATGGCGAATAACCTCGAAACATTTACGCCTATTGTCCTTAAAGCAAAATACGCGTACATGAAAGAATGAACGAAAAGATTCATTTGCATAATTACAACACCAACCGACATTCTCTTCCATGTATTATACCAGAAGAAAATTAAAGTTATGGCATGGTGACACCAGTGAATAAATATTAATTTCCTCTTAGACAAAACGATAAATAACGTGTCCCCTAACTCTACAATTTTCGACAATAAGAATAACCAACCCCAAAATACAGTTGGCTGGTCCTTCAAGAAGTAGTTGATGTTGCAGATTGATGCCAGGAGACTGCTGTGTTCGATGACTTTCAAAAAGAATGGCAGAACACGTGACAAACACGTGATGCTGAATATACAGAGTAACGTATTCCAAGCGAAGAATATCTTCTTGAGTTGAAACGGCTTCTTAGATTTCATATATTGCTGACCGGCAAAAATGGCGGCTAAATAAATACTTATTAAATAAAATGTTATGTGCCAATTGTCGATTATCCATGGCTCGATGGTCTCTGCTCGAAAATATTTTTCGAACTCGAATGGTTTTCTGGTTATATTCGAATTATATAAATTTATTGGGTCCGATATATTTCCGATAAAAAATTCCATTTCTATACTGAAAATAGATAAACAAGAAACTTGATTAAATATTTTAATATGAAAACTATTTTTCTTAGTTTTATTTAGTGCCGTAGTTTGCGGCATATAAGACGCAACTTTTGCCCAAAAAACGGGATCAAAAATCCCTCCTTAAGCGACGTTACTATTTTCTGTATGTTAATGAATTCACCAAACGGCGTTCATAATCTACAGTTGAATACAATAAATATTCTATGCATCTTATATGCCGGTAATTTGTTAAACACTAAGTTGGTCACGTGTCCATCTCTTAATCTCTACCTGCCATGGCCTGTCTTTCTCGTTGGCCTCGAATCAAACAATATGGCAGAGAAGAAGAGGAAGCCGAACGCAGAATTCTTGGTAAATCTAGTTACGCTACAATCATAGACTGGTTTCAAACTAATTTCTGACTCTTCCTTCTTCTAGAATTACTGAAATTCTAAAAATAGACAGAGTACGGACTGTTTCTAGAATTGCAATGCCCGAATTCCCAACCACCAATCAAGAGTCAGAATTGGAAATTAACCAATAACGTTTACTTGAAGTAATTGAATAACTTCAAATCTTAATCCAGATTTGATAATTGTTTTCATTTGAATTTGTTAAATTGGATAATTTTAAGTTTTTAAAAAGGAAATGGTACTTCTAATTAACACTTTTTATACGTATAATATACACTACAGCAGATCCAGAAATCTTTTGAGGGGTGCAAAAAAGAAACAATATGTGACGTCCCCGATTTTACTGGGGGAAAAACCCCCAATATGAGAGTGCAGCTGAACTCACCCTAAATCTGCCCCGAGTACAATAAAATCTGAATAAAACGGAAACATGGCTATTTTGTACCATGCAATTTCTGTTTACGTGGATTTTACCGTATAATGTTGTACACAATGTAATATAATACTCGTATAATGTTGGTGCTAAAAATGGGTAATCTGTGTTACGAAATATCCTTACCTCGTGTTTGCTGTATCGTGATGACAGTAGTAGTGACAATGCAAAACTTTTTTGATTTTTATATAAGCTGCTGCATCTTCCCCTATTCGTCTTACGTCATCTTTTATATTTTCGTGACTAATGAATATTTTCAACAACCGAAAAATTGCCATGCACTATGGATAAATACGGGTGTATGACCTTTCGGCTTATTTCGTAGATTTTATTACAATTTACTTTGATTTGAAGAATGTAAAGTATACTAAACAATTTTACGAAACTTTATTTTATATTATTATTAAATATTTTGTATTAATTAAATCATTATAACAAGTTGAAAATCCCCTATTACTAGTAAATGTCCACCAGTGGCCGGTGGCTAAAACCACTCACGTGGGAGTGGTTGTGGGTTCGCACGTTACCAAAGGGATGGGACCACGTGCAATTTTCTGGGATTTCTAACACCTAAATGGGCCAGTTTTTCCTGTAGAAAATCCTTTCCCATCGGTAGATTGTCCACGTTTCACGTTACCGTATACAGACATTTACGTAAAAGCCCGAATACATTAACGTATGAAATAATAATCTTGTTTGCAAAATTGTTACGCAAGATATTAAATTACGGTACATGCGTAACGCTTGAATTTCAATTCATAATTTATTAATAAAAAATAAAAACAAATAGCTACATTCAAAGTGTATCGGAGCGGAAATGTTAACTCTTGCTAACCTTCGCGTGTCTAATGGCGGCATTTATTCTCGAGATTTTACACGGATAGTGTTCACGTTACATTTTAAACCGTGTTCATGCATAATTATATCAACTTAACACGATCCTATTCCGGATATACAATACTAAATTCTTTATTACTCGTGTTTGTATTTAATAAGTAAATGTTCTTTCGTGATAAACGTATTTAAAATGGGTACAAAAATTACTGATAAAGCAATTTTATTGACTTATTTTAAAATAAAAAAAACACAAGTTTGAAATTTTAACCCGAAAATTTAAAATGAAAATTTAATTTATTTTTTTGGTTTTCAGTTTTTTGTTTGGTTTCTGGGAAGAAACGTGTTGTAAAATAAATTTGCTGGCAATTTCGTTTGCCAAGTTTTCCGAATTTCGTTTGTTTGTCGTGTCGATTTCTTCTTCCAGTTTTTCCAAACTTTCCAAGAAATTGCGGATTGGAGGCGATTTTCTTCCTTCGTTTTTACATGAAATCATTTTTCTAGTCTCATCTTTCTGCGAGGAAGTCGACTCTTTATTTTGCAAATTACTTCGAATGGCAGTTTCAGAAATTTCTCGAATTATTCCTGATTTATCCTCTGCATCTTCTTTTCCCATATCGATCGACAGTTCTACTTCAAATTCTGCACGACTATTGTTTCCATTTGTTTCTTCCGAGCCGATACCAATTTTTATAGAAACGGCTTGGTCGATGATACTTTGCTGGATCTCTTCTGTCAGGAAATTGTTAAAATTTGCTTCCGAGGATTTTATGCGGTGTAATTTTACTGAATTTCCTTTCTCCTGCGTGACAAAATTATATTGCTCCTCGTGTAACATTTCTTCGGATGAATCTTTAACTTTAATTATTGCCACAATTCTTTCCTCCTCCTCCCCTTCTTCCTTCGTTTCTAGAACTTTATCTCTCGAAGCCATTTGGAATTTTGGATCCATATTTTCTGAGGGTGCTTCAATCATTTCCTCGTATTTCTCTTCTATTATTTTCTCCTCATCTAAACACATTGGAGGGAGAGCTATTTCGGATGATTTTGAAACCACAGTAATTCTTGTTTCGATTTTTTCAATGTGGTCTTCAGTTTCTTTCGGATTAATCTTTTCCACTAAAATTTCTTTGTGAATTTCTCTGATAGGCTCCATAGTTTCCAGCTTTACCATTTCTTCCGAATAAACTTCTGTGTTGATTACTGGTTTTGTTGAATTTTTCTCGGAAATTTCAGTAAGAGATTTTATAACTTCTAAATCTTCTTTTATATCCATTATTGACTTTGATATCCCTGCACTTTTAAAAATTTCCGATGATTTTGATTCTACAGCGTTAAATCGGGTATTACTTATATTTATTTCTGGAGCATTTTTCACAGAATCATTCGCTATTTCGGGAGACTTCTCCTCTGATTTAACTGCAGTTTCTTCTTGATGTTTATCGTCTGATAATTCCTCGATTGATGCTTGTAAATCGATTTTATTTTGATTTTCTTTTACATTTATGGATATTCCGATATTTATTTCACTCGATGGCTTCACCGTTTCTTTCGATTGTTTTTTCACATCTACGGCTGATCTCACGCCATTTTCTGATTTTTTTGCATCCGTTTCTTCATCGTATATGCGAACATCCATTGTCTGTACACACTTTTCTTCGCATTCTACGGCACATGTCGCGGATTTTTCGCTGAAGGATTTATTTTCTGGAAGCACTCGCTCGGTAATATCCATTTCGTTCATCGAATTTATAAAATCCTCTACTCTTACCAATCTTAACTTCATTTCTTCCATCTCAATTAAGAAATTTAATTGAGATTCCGCAGAAGGGATTTCGGAATCGTCAACTGAGAAGGAAACCACTTCATTTTCTTCGGACTGTAATTGCTCATCCCAATTTTCTTCAATTCTCATCCGACTTTCCTCCAAGAAGCGAAATTTCGATAATAAGTAGTAAATTATACTACCAAGAATGATCTCGGTTACAAATCTTAATGCATGGTAACATGCAGATGTGTAAGAAAATAAAATTTGCTGATTTTCAATCATTTTGATAGCTTCTTGATCTGCCATTGAAAGTTTTATACTCGTTTAACAATTTTCCTTTTATTCAACAATAAAAAAAAAAACTTGTTATGTCAAAAACACCATTCTATTGTTTAGGTTAATATTGTAAATTTGTTTTAAACTTCAAATATTTGTAAAATGTTTCCTATTTAAATTTTACACAATAATTTCAACGAATTATTTTTTCCCTACATAAAATGAGTGTCCAACAGTAGCCGAGTGTATAAAAACCACAGAACATTGGTCGTGGGTTCGCTCCTCGCCAACATTGGTCACGCGAGATTTCAAAGTATTGTACTGTACCTAACACCTAAACGGACAATTTTCCCAAAGATTTACCATGTTTTCTTCATGTGTCTAATGCCTAAATGTTGGCCAGTTTCCCACGCGTTGCATTGCCTTATTCAATCCATCCAATCCACATAAAGTAGAATATAAAGTACGTAGATGAATAAAAATGAATTCGTTGAAATTATTTGCTAAGTTTTCTGAAATTAATTAACAAGAACACGCTAACTGTGATGATAGAAGATAAATGAAATTAAAAATATAAAAATAATTACATAGTCTTCGTTGAAGTTGTGACCTTGTGATTTTTTATTATTTCATTATTATTGCATGAAAATATCCAACATACATAATAGCAAAGAAGCTCTTTTTGACAAGATCATGCATACAAAGCACAAAACAGAAAGAAAGTTGTCGTTTCTAATAGGATAATTAAGGATAAACACCATTTCCTATATTAATAGGCGATATCCTATAAAAATCATCGTATTCTTACAGATCGGACTGATCCAAGAAATCCCTCGAACCTAATTTATTCGATGAATGATAATCGTTGTGAATTTTCGAGTAAAGGTGGATAGGAGGCTGTTTATAAAAGAAATAATTAACAATAGAATTAGTTAATTAGATAATAAAAAGTATATATATATATATTTTTTTTTTCTGTGATTTTCCTGTTAATACTGTTTGTTAATATTTTCAGATCAAGAAGAATTCTTGAAATATCAGAATTATTAGTATAAGAACAGATGAATATAAAAGTGAACATGCATAAGATCTTTCTCACCTACAATGGAAGGTTACAATGGAAGGTAAAGTGAAATGTTATTCATTTCCCATTTGTTTGGCCTTAGGCCTGGACTTTGGAAGGGGCTGAAGGAAGAATAGAATATAAAGTTAACAGTAGACAGAGAGAAATAATAATAAAAGTTCGGTTATTATTTATATTATTACTTACACTTGGACTCATTGCTCTGCTTGCAGAACTGCGATTTCTTGCTCGTAGTTTTGCCAGTGCATTTTCGGACATGTCTGCTCTTTCTTCTGCATCCTCCAATTCTTGTTGGACTTTTCTAAATTTAGCGAGATTCAAAGCTGCTATTTCTTCCTAGAATATTACAATTCAATTATTTATATTCTTCCGTTAATTAAGAAAATATATAGTAAATTTATTATATATATGTAAGTATGTGTGTATATTAAAACGTACAGCTTCCTCTATCTGTCTCTTGTATGTTTTTATCTTCTGTTGTAATTTATCGATAAGATCTTGCATTCTTTCGTGATTCTTTCGATCTTCGTCCATTTGGAATTGAATTTCTTTTAATTTTCTTTCTGATTTGCGATAATTTTTAGCTGAATCTGCGTGTCTGCGTTGCTCGTGTTCCAGTTCGGTTTCTAATTCTCTCACCTTAAAAATTAGATATTATTATTATTTAATTAATTCTTTTTAAAATTAAACTCTACTGTTAAAACTTTACACACTTTCTGTTCCAGTTTCTGAATAATTTTCCTTCCTCCTTTAAGAGCTGCTGCTTCTGCTTCGTCTAATCTGACTTGCATTTCTTTCAGCTGCTGTTCGACAGCTTTTCTTATTTTTTCTTGTTGTTGAGCGTGCTCTTGTTCAGCTCTCAGTTCATCGGCTAATCTAGCAGCATCGACCATTGCTTTCTTTGCTTTTTCTTCCGATTGTTTGGCTTCATTCAACATTTCATCAAGATCGGCCTAAAATATACGAAATATATGAATGTAATTTTTACTCGTTCATGTGTTCACTGAATTGATTCCGTTGATAAAAGAACAGTAACCAAAATAAAATCCTATCATGAAATCATTACATGTGCCACATGCTGAATGCCTAGATGATTCTGATGATAAAACAATAAATCAATTATGTATGGCATGGATATTAATAACTATTTCCGGAAGATGAGCCCTATTAAAGACACTACATCGTATCTATAAATAATTTCAACTCTCTTTTACGCACAATTAATCATGCGAGTAGTCAAAAAAAATGTGGCTGTGTTCATATTGCTAAAGATTGTAGACACATTTTCTTCTGTCTTTATCATAGTGTTATTTTGATTGGAAAAATACTTGATTACTGTTTTCTTATTAATCATTTTGTATCTGATAATACAAATTTATAATATACATAAAATTGCATACATGCAATGCTTGCATTTCTCCTTCTAATTTCCTCTTGGCCATAGATATAGATGCGTGTTGTGCTGAAAGTTCGTTCATTTGATCGTGCATGTCACTTAATTCGGATTCGGCCGATCTTCTCTGTCTGTCAGACTGTTAAATAAATAAATAAATAAATAATTTAATAAGCGTGTTATCAATTTAATAAAGCATAAAATTCAATAGTAATTTGATTACTTGTTCTAATAACTGTCGGCTTTCTTCTAATTCTCCTTGAAGAGTGCTGCAATGACGTTCAGACATGGCATATTGTTCTCTTATTTCGTCCCTTGCTCTTTGTTCTTCTTCCAAAGCTTGCTGTAATTCTTTCAGATTAATCTGATACTTTTTCAGGTTCTTCTGAGCGTCGGCATTTGCCTTATTTGCATGATCTAAAGCGATTTCTAATTCGTTGATGTCACTCTCCAGTTTCTTCTTTAGTCTCAAAGCTTCTGCTTTTCCGCGTGCTTCGGCTTCGAGACTCGCTTGCATCGAATCGATTGCCCTTTGGTGGTTCTTTCTATAATTTACACGAAAATTAATTATTAATATTTTATTTAAAAAGAGAAGAACAAATGGCAGACACGAATTTGCACCTCGTGTTTTCAAATTCTTCCTCCTTGTCTTGCAGGCGTCTATCGATTTCCTGTCGAACCTGAGATAGTTCTAATTGTGCTCTTAATACTTTATTTTCTTCCTGTTCTAGAGCTGCTTCTGCTTCTTCCAAGGCAGCTTGCAACTCTTCTTTTTCCATTTCCAATCTCTTACGTGATTTCTCCAACTCGTGGACACTTCTACCACCCTCTCCTAATTGGTCCATCAAGTCTTTGATCTCGTCTATGATATTAAAATTGGAATTTAATACACGTTCCTCAATTTTAAATATTATAAAAAAAAGACTTTTTTCTTACCTTGCAAATTTTTGTTCTCTCGTTTGACTGATTCGTATTGCTCCTGGCTTTCTTCGTATTGTCCTCTTAATTTAAACAGTTCGGTGGAATAATTTCTGCATTCTCTCTGAGAGGCATCGAGTTCTGCTGCTAAATCGTCTACTTTCTGTTTCCAGTCGGCAACGACTTTGTCGAATGATTTTTGCCTCTTTTCCAATGCAGCTGCTGTTGCATTCGCCTAATAATTAAATATAACGTTAACACATATCCGAAATTTTATATAAATTTTAGAAAATTTCTATTTAGTAATTTACCCTGTCCACTTCGATGGTCATATCTTCAAGTTCTCCTTGAAGTCTTGATTTCGTCTTTTCTAAACCGCTACATTTTGCATTTACTTGCTCGATGTTTTCTTCTGCTTCTTGGAGTTTAGCTTGAAGTTTTCTCCTTGAATTATAAGAATAAAAATTAAATTTTCATTACTTTTTAGATTTGTCTGTTGACCAGTAACCATTTAAAATAAATGGTTACTTACTTCGCTTCCTCCAGTTCTTCCAACCTTGCCAGTCCTTCGCTTTCATATTTGTTCTTCCACATTTGTAATTCGGCATTAACTTTGCTTAATTGTCTCTGAAGATCAGCCTTTGCTTCTTGTTCTTCCTCTAATTGTTCCCTTAATCCGTCTAAATCGTGTTCCAAATTTCGGAAGCGACCCATGAGAGCAGAACGTTCCTGAGATGAAATTCATTTTTTTTTTAAATTAAACACGTACAATTTATTATATAAATTTTAAATAAAACTACGTACTCTGCTTTCTTCATCTGCCGTTCTTTTAGCTTCGTCTAATTGCGTTAAGAGGGACATTTTTAATTTATTAACTTGAGCGAGCTGAGATTCTAAATCTTCCACCTGCCTTTGTAGATCGGAATTTTCTACTGATAATTTCTTTTTTGTCGAATCGAAATCTCCTAAAGACCTGTTAGCTTCGTCTAATTTTCCTTGCAGATCTAAAACTTGTATTTCTAATTGTTTCACTTGTTTTTCGGAATTTGCCTGATGATAAATAAATAAATTAGAAAAGTGAGAAATGTCATTCATGTTTTTCTAAATGAAATCTCCTTACTTTTTCTTTCTGTACATGATCGATACTGGATTTAACATCATCTAACTCTCCTTTCAACTGTCCTTTCTCTTTCTCCAACCTGTTTAGAAGATTTTTATTTGTGACGACAGAATTTCTAAACAATTATTTAGTGTTGTTCACACAATTACCTGCTCCTGTGTTTGTTAAGTTGGTCGTTTTGTTCGCTTAATTCGGCCACCACATCGTTGTGTTTCTTCCTCAAAGTTGACATTGCCTGTTCGTGTTGTATGTTGGCTTCTTCTAAATCTCTTCGCAGTTTTGACATTTCGGCTTCTCTCCTCTTATTTAGTTCGACCTTAAAATAGATTTACAATAGGATCTTTAGAAAAAAATACAGCCAAGGAAATTAAGATTTGAATACTTTTTTTACCTGCGCTGATGTTGCACCTCCGGCTTCTTCGAGACGTTCGCTCAGTTCTTCAATTTCTCTGGCAAGATCAGCCCTTTGTTTTTCAGCCTAGAATAACAAAATACATTTCAGTAAGCCAAATTTTAGTATTATTAATTGTAAAAATGATTTATGTGTATATTAAAAAAAAAATCTTACTTTAGCTCTAGCTTGTCGTTCAGCTTCGAGTTCTTCTTCGAGTTCCTCAATTCTAGCCTAATTAGAATTTTTAAAAATATATCTCAGTATGCCAAAATTTATGCAATAGATAAAATATATTAATTTATTAACCTGTAATTCTTTGATCTGTTTTTGTAATTTTGCCACTAAACTTTGTTCGTCTTCTAATTTTGCAGCCAGACTAGCCATTTCCTTTTCTTTCCTAAATAATTGCTTACAATTACATTAAATATCTCAAATTAAAAAAAAGATTAGTTTGCAATATTTTATACCTCTGAAGAGCTTGCTCTAATTCTTTTTTGGCTTTTTCTAAGTCAGTTATTGCTTCTTGTGCTAACTTCAAATCGCCTTCTAATTTCCTCTTTGTTTTTTCTGTATCTCCTCTTAATTTCTTTTCTCTCTCTAAATTATCTTCTAACTGTAAAAATATATTTTTAAATTTAATTTTAAATTATTACAACTTAATGATTTAAAAATATTAATAAAACTTACTTCATCTAAAGTCTGCTCTAATTTTGCTTTCACTTTATTTAAATGATTTACTTTATCTTCGGTTGCTTGAAGTTCTTCTGATGTTTTCTAGAATTTATAAAGTAATATTCGTAGATAAAAATATTGAAAAAAAAAAGTTAAAATAAGTTTGTACTGTGTTGATATACCTGAGTAATTTCTTGTAAATGTTTCTTTTCTTTGTTAAATTTATTAATAAGTTCATCTTGATGAGCGATTTCGTCGTTCAGGTTACGAATTTGATGATCTTTAGAAGCCTTATCTTGTTCTGCCTACATTAAAAAACCAATATAAATTTAATTTATTAAAAGTTATACATTTAAACGATTAAAAATTATGCAATTTACTCAAATACACGAAGAATACAGGTGTTTAAAATATTATATACAGTAAAACTTGGCTTTGTGGCCACAACTGAAAATTTCCTGTTAATCTGCCTAAATCAAACTTCATACTGCCACCCCCCACAGAAAATGCCCTACATAAATGAAACTCCATATTAATGGACACCTCTCTCTTAAGTGGCCAGAAATTGTAAAGTTTTACTGTATTTTAGTTTGTCTAGGATGTATTTTATAAACACGCCATTTATATAAGCATGACAAAATATGAATTTAAACTATTATATTTAAAAATATAATAAAACAGACCTTTTGAATAGTAAGTTCTAAATCTTCCACGTCCTTCTTCAGACTCGACACTTCACCTTCTAATTTTTTTCTTGTTTGTGAAAGTTGAGTGTGGGCGTCCTCTTCGTGATTCAACCTATCTTGTGTTTCCTGATCGGAAGAAAACAAGGAATATTGATCAGAGATGGCATCCGACGAATAATAACTTGGATGAAACTGTTCGGATATCGAAGACCACTCGTTATCGCATTCGGTAACTGCCATATCTAACTCCTAGCTAACATATGACAGGGAATATTTCTGACCGGCCTTACCACTTGAGATTGTGAGAGAATAGATCCTATTATCTTCAACTTGTTTAGTTTGTAAGGAGACTCTCAGACTACTATATTTAGTAGGAAGTGTAGAAAACTTTCAACTAAAAATGTTTATTTATTAAAGACTAGAAGATGATGACTAAGTTTTAAAATAAAGATTAAAATCTAAATGTAAAGAGCTTTTATTCTATATATATATTTATATATAACCTGTATAAACGAGAAAACTTCTTTGAAACCGAACGGTTTTCCATGTTTTAAAATAATAACCTGTTTAAAACGGAAAAAATATCCGGTACAGTGCGATTCCGATTTAAACAGGTTTATTGTAATTAATATAATTTAATAAATTATAATTATTCGGAAATAAAAAATTAGTTTTCATATCTGAGAAGTCCGGGCCATACAGTTTCAAATTTCTAAAAGAATCTAATAAAAACAAATATTTTACGGCCCCACGAACAACATTTTTTACAAGGCAGGCCCTGAAGAATATCGAATTTAATTAGCCTAACTAAAGTTAATTGAAAGTTGATGAATTTATTCTAATTTTAGAATTAAAATTATGCTGTTTTAAATGTTCTATATCGTTTAATATTTTTTTAAAAAATTGTTTCGCCTTTCTGTAGTTTAGTGTGATGAAATACTAACCTGAAGTTGGCATTCCAAATCGGCTTTTTGTGTTAGAGCACGATTCAATCTTTCTTCCAAATCGCCGCATCCGGATCTTTCTGCTTCCAATTGTAAAAAGAGATCGTTCTTTTCTTGTAATAATTTTACATTTTGTACTTCGAGATCTTTTCTGATCTTCTCTTCTTTTGCGAAAGCTTCTTGTTCTTTCTTCAATTTTTCTTCCAAAGCTTTCAATTCGTCTTCTACTCTTGCAATGCTCAATAATGGTTTCACCTGTTTAAAAAAAAGTAGAAAGAATATATAAATGTTTACAGTTAACTTGTTATCTTGGTGCTGGAAACGAATTTTAAATACCTTTGAGTAAAGCTTCCACCATAACCAATTTCTGAGTTGTAAAAATTTTCGAAGATTTCTCTGAATAACCAGTAGGGCAACTCTGAAAGAAGAGGAGTTTTTATGATTATTAATTAAGAGACCTTAGAAATCCTCGAGGTATAAAATTTGACCAATTACAATACTCCAGCTGTTCCATAACATCCAGGAAACTAACAATTTCAATAGAGGTTTTCATTGAAACACTTATTTACCTTTGTTCCTGTAACTTCTTGAATTCTTTCTTGCACCCGTACCATCTGATCCATGCTTGCAACATTGTAATAATTTTACTTAATCTTTCGTCTCTCAATTCTTCCAGACGTCCCAAAGCACCAGCTCTGAAGAATACCTAAAATTAAGAATTAGAAAATAAGCTCAGAATGCTTCTTAACGTCTTGCTTGCTGTACAGTTTCCAGGCAGACAAGCTAATTTTAGAGAAGGAATTAATTTCTTTTTTAGAAAAGTTTCATCTCTTACCTCAGATCTGTGATCCTTTGATCTTAAAACTTAATACTATAATAACTTGCAAGAAATTCGGTAAGCTATAACTAATTTCGATAGAATCATGCTAATATACATGCCTTGGTAAGACCGAATCGATATTCGTTAGGATCCAATTGTGTTTGTTCCAATATCCTTTCACTCGCATTCTTAGCATCCAAGAATTGATTCTTAGGTAGGACATTCGAAGCTAGGATTGTATATCTGTACAGGAAAGGATGGGAAGATGCATTACAGTAATTGCAAATATTAAAAACTCTCCCTGTTCTTGGTATATTAGTAAAGTATACACTTGTTATTTTATGGATGGGTCCTTTGGTAAATTATAATAGGATGGATATAAAGTGATAAGGAATGGTTGCAATTTTCTAATCTGTAATAAAAGGGTTTTGCATGTTCTAAGGATTTGCATATTAGTCATGGGTCGATCTCTTATTACAAAAACATTAGTGCACGTAATTATTCCCATTATTTTTCATGCAACTGAAGATAGATTTCTGATGAAAATGGATAAAATTCTGCTGAGATGATAGATTTCAAGTTCAAATTTTAAAGATTTCCCAAATTCTTTTATTATTATTATTATTTAATAATCCCGATTGCATTTGTGCTGAAGTTAAATGCATTACAATAAATTGTGATTTTATTAATTAAAACAATTATTATTATTATTATTTATTATTATTGCAACACTTCATTGCTTCTTGCGTGATGTTACTCACATCGAAATGCACGTTTGTTTGCATTGATGTTACTCACATTGCAATACATAAGTATTTTTTCCATTGATTTTACTCACATCGAAATGCATATTCGTTTGCATTGTTATTATTCACACTTTTCTGCTTTGATGTTATTCACATTGCAACACCTTGACATCTTTTGTTTGCTGTTATTCACATAAAATACTTTATTCACTCGTATTGACAGATTATTTTCACATTCTGTTGTTTATTTTAATCGTTTAGTGTTATTCACATTTCAGATTCACCAAATTAATTCAATTATCAGTGCTTATAACTCGCACTAAACCAAATATACATATATTTTATATTATTATGCACATAGAAAATTTGAGTTTTATGCATTAGATGTTTATTAATAAGTTATATAATCGTATCATACTGATACAAGTCTGTTTCTGTTCACTGTTCTACAAAAAACACAATTAATTAAATATTAATAAGTTTATACTCATAACATTCACTTGAAAACGAAAAAAAAAGTATAGATTAATAAGCGTATTATTAACATACAATAGCAGAAAGCAGGCAGATAATTAAAGCGTGCACGTGCATATTACTATACCTCTGTGACCCTGTGACATTTTCAGTGCTATTTGACCTGATAAAATCGGAAAAGGTTTTGTTTTATTGTTGCTTAATTTACATGCCTTTGTATGACCCATTCGATATTCATTAGCTTCAAGTTGTGTAGCCGCAAGTACGCATTCTGTTGCATTTTTAGCATCAACGAATCCCTTAGGAACTGCATTGGGAGCCAAAATTGTGTATCTGGCGATGAAAACAACAAAAATTATTTTAAAAAATCATCAAAAAAAGGTACGTAAAAATGCAAAAAACAACAAAAAAAGTTCTGTATACACAGAAAAAATATACAAAAATCTTTTTTTAAAAAGTCATGAAAGTTGGGAAATAGAGGATACATATGTGCAAAACTTTACTCGTTATTGGCATATATACTTTTTTTAAAAAAAAAAACTCATTCTGCCCTGTGGGCATTAAGAGGGTCTTTTTTTTAGCAAGCCCATTATGGGTTTGACCAGGTGGTGAGGAGGGATGGGAGCCAACATATCCGGTTGGACCACTCCAAATAAATTCTAGGGGATTTTTCAACCCGTCTGGATTCAGTCCCAGGTTCCCAGAGTAGTAGGTTGCCACCTTGATCACTTATCCATCCAGCTGTCAGTTTATATACATATAATTAATGGACTTTTAGTCACAATTCTTATGATTAATGTGCAGTTGGATATATAGTTTCTATAAATACAGTACTTTGTCATAGGAAGTGATAATTTTCAGGAAACATATTTGATTTCCTTTCCTGTTGTTTAATCTTTTGATGCCCATTAATAGGTTTATCCCAAAAACAAAGTTTTGGAGTAATCAAATGAATAGTTTGAATCCTGAAACCAAATATTTTTTACTATTAAAGTTATTTTTGAAACAAGTAATATTAGATAATAAATGTTGAGATATTTTCCTACATTATAAATTTAATAAAAAAAGGTAAAAAAAGTTATTTTCTAATTTGAATATACAAAATAAAACAAAATACAATAATTTAACAACAAAATGATACAGTAATAACGTCAAATTAAAAGTCAGTATGAAAGTATACTTTATTCTGTAACGTCTAGTTTTTTCAAAAAACCCAAAAATTAACTAACAGCATTACATAAACAACAAAACAAAACATCCAAGTCAGTGACAGGCCAGGACTTATAAATGGGCAAAAATATGAATGAATTTCTTTGAACATAAAAAAAAAAATAAGTTACTGTATGAAAAAGCCTGAAATGAATATGTGACTATGCATCAAAAAAAGAATTAAATTTATTATTATTTTATGATCGACTATGTACAATAATTAATAAATACAAAATAAGTTAGAAAAACTAATTGTACAAGTTATAAAATTTAATGATATTTTATCTAATCAGAAAAAAAAAAAATACAAGACTCCAAACTTTTCCAACACTTAGTAACTTAGTTCTAAGATAGTTTTAATTAAGTTTATTACCATAGAAATCTGACAGATATAAAAACTAGACTATTTACAAAAATTACAACAAAAGGTTCTTACAAATAACTCACCTAACTATCATGCCATAAAGAAAAAGAAAAAATAGTCTTGAAATCTTTGCTTGCCAATTGTACTCACTCAGGAACTTCACCTCACTTGCTTACAGTAGCTTCAGTATCTTCACCTCATCTTTCTTCAATCTTGTCAGACTTTATATACCAGACATGGGCAAATGCGGCTCTTTTTGAGNTTGAAATAAATATAAATTATTTATAAAGATTTATAGTTGGAAATTATTAATTAAATTGCCAGTTTAATTTAGTAAATTTTCATACTAAAATTTTTACCTGTGTTTAAAATCAGGATACAACATTCTATTAGGAAATCCTTTCCTACAAATTCTAATACCCTCGAGTACACCGTTGCAAGTCAGTTGGTGCATTACCAAGTGGGAATCAATCACACCTAAACAAACACTATAATATTTTTATCTGTTCATAAATAATTTAAAAAATCAGCTTACAATATACAATAAATCATTACAATATTGCTTACCTTTTTTTTTTTAGTTTAATAAGTATACAATTGTTAAAACTAGAAGGATGCTTACTTCTAATTTTATTGATTTTAATGTTGTAATTTTCTAATTTTAATAATTTTGTTTACATTTTATTTACTTTCTTTAGTGTTATTTCATTTGTAATGGAACCGAAATTATTATTTTTAATTAATGATTCCAATTTTGTTGGCTTAAATGACTTGAATTTTTTTATTTTATTTCGTTAACGTGCATTTTCCTTGGAGAATTATAATCGTAAGCGTAATTTTAGGTTTCAAGTTACACTAGATAACATGTTAATGGATTTTAAAATAGTATGTGAATAGAGTTAAATGAATTGTGTAATAGTCTGAACAATGTCAGTTAAAATGTGTGTACTTCTTAACAAAAGTATATTAACTTTACAATTAGAATTATGGATCTTTGACTTATCTTTCATCATTGATAACTGTTCTATAAAATAAACAAATGAAATCTTTATATTATAGGTCCACACATTGAAGAGAATGTCTGGATTTATTGTTTGAAATTTAATTGAAAACAAATTAGTAGTAAATAATGTAGTAAATGAATATAGAAATGCTACAATTTATGCCTTTATAATAACTATTTAATGCTTTTTATCCTAAATAATTGAATATAAAATTAGTTATAAATTTTATTAAAAGTTGATGTAATTGTATAATAAAAAAATTATATTTTAATTTATTAATTACCGAATAGAATTTTTGTTTTATGATCAGTCCAAATTATGAAGTAATTATTTATAAACAGGGCCGTCAGAGCTTGTATGGGGCACTCTTAGCATGTTTTTTTGGAAGAAATAAAAAAAATTAGAATGCTTATTTATTAATATAAAGTAGTGTTAACGCCTTTAAATAAATAAAATTAATTTTATAGAGGGTTAGGCTCGGGAAAAACTCATCATCTTTCAGCTCTAAACGGCCCCCTTTACAAAACAAGATTAAAATTTTAGTTTTGAACAACCAGTTATAAAATAATAATAATAATAATAAAATTAGTGTTATTGTAAGAAAATAAAATAAAATAAATAGAAAAACGTATGTACAAACACATCTTTTCATCCAAACCTCCTTACCTGGCGATTTAGTTTCATTCGGAATGATACACCTGACGAAATGGGGTGATGTACTTCTCAGAGTGGTCATTAACTTGTTCAATTGTTCCTATACGTTTGGAAACAGGAATAACCAAGGGAAAGTTTTATGAAAAGGATCTAAGCAATAAGCAATGAGTGTCAAAATGGGCTTAATTTGGACAGGAAAGCGTAAAGCGAAACGGTATAATAAATATATATTTTTTTTTTCTATTTTTTTTTGGAAGGAAATTATTATATTTGGCCATTTTTGGAAATTTGGAATAAGGTTTGATAAGGGGGATCTTGCGGATTTGGCATCCATGACGATGTTGCTCCCATTTCTTGATGACTGTTGCCAGACTAGCAAAGCACATCAGCCAGCTCTTCTATCCTACATTGCAGAGAGCGAAGCGATAGCCAACAAAGTTAGAAGCTATTCAAGCATAAAATACGCTTGTAAATGCTTATATCTAAAATAAATATATAAAATTGCTCATATTATTAGTTAGAATAGGCAAAGAATAGAATGTTTTCCGAGGATAAGAGAAAATTTGAGGAGAGAGGGGGGAGGTTTGTTTCTTCGGAGGTTTGAGGATGATTGGTGGGAAAGACTCCACAGAGACAATGTGTTCAGGCTTACACACTACATTATTATAATATAAGGAATAAAAGGAAAAGAAAGAGGAATATACCTGGGGATTTAGTTTCATTGGGGATGATGCACCTCACAAAATGAGGCTGAGTTTGTCTCAAAGTGGTCATCAACTTGTTCAGTTGTTCCTGTGGGATTTAGGATAGAGATAAAGATCTACTCTAGTAGGAATGGGAAGTATAGGTAGGCATATTATATCTATAAGTACTACTACTGTTACTAATAGTTTATAACTACACTATAAATTTACTATACTACTGAGTTTAGGAAAATTCTAAAATTATATAATCTACAACTATTCATAGAAAATAATAAAAAGAGTCTTACAAAATAAGTAGTCAAAAAGGATGGTGGAGAGCATTAAATTACATTTTATGTAATTTTTAATTGTTGAAAATATTATAAAAATAATGGATGCCCTCTGCAAGGTCTAAAAATACCCCAACAAAAAATTATGTATATAAATTTAATCTGTCTGATATCCCATTTTTACAAAATATATTACAAAAAAAAATTAAATAAACTAACTAAAAATAATCTAAAGTTTAATTTCTAAATATCCTAAACACTATAAAAATAAAAATAATTAATGTTTCAAATGAATTAGTTACCCTGTACAATGCAGACACTGTTTGAAATCCAGAACCCTTCTTTCTTCCTCCTCCTCCTGAAGTGATGAAAGAGAAATAAATTAAAATAAAATAAATAAATAAGCCCTGTATTTTCATTGATGATGATGGTAATTATAAATATGAAAGTACCTTTCTTTGGATCATCAGATCCAAGACCTGGATGATCTTCAAAGATGCTAATTAATAATTTGTTAGATGCATGTTTGAACTGATCGACAACAGTATCATTCAGTGGATCTTTATTCTTCTCTAACCAGTTTGTCAAGTTGTAGGGAACCTATTTTATTAATAAATGGTTTTTATAGTCTTATATGTCTTACAAATTAATAATTTAACACAGTGATAGGTATATTTACAGTTCCTGCATAATGAACTATGGCAAAATGAGCATCTACTTGTCCAGGTTTCGGTGGTTTTGGCTTTACGAAATTTGGAGATTTTCCAAGGTGATTAGTTTTTAATTTTTCTTCAAAAGTTTTATCGGTGGCTTTGGGGAACATAGATTCTTCTTCCAGAATTGAAAGCACACCCATTGGCTATCGACATTATAACATGCATTAATATAACTTAATAAACTTTAAACAAAGTTTCTGTTAATTTAAAACAAAAATTATATACAGAGTTTATATTTCTTTACATATTCATGTAAATAAATCAAGAAACATTAATCACATGGGCATAAAGCCTTATATACTATAGCTTATACTTATGAAGTCGTTAGTAAAGTGCCATGGAAGCAATTAAAATACAATACATGGAAAAGCAACGACAAACCTTTTCTATCAGCTCAATACAAGCTTGTAAATCCAAACCGAAATCAATAAACGTCCAGTCGATTCCCTCACGTTTGTATTCCTCTTGTTCCAGTACAAACATGTGATGGTTGAAGAACTGCTGCAATTTCTCGTTGGTAAAGTTGATACAGAGTTGTTCAAAGCCATTATACTGTATGAGTTATGCGAAAAAAGAAAAGTTTGATGTATAGAAAGTTAAAAGCACGTGTTTGCTATTGTTAGTACAGCAATAGATATATTTCTTTGTGTGCTGGAAAGCGCAAAGCTGCTTATGCTGCGTAGTGCCCATTATTCTTTTACACAAGCGCCCAATTTCTCTCTGTTTTCTGTGTATTTTTTTTTTTTTTTTTACTTTCCTACCTTCTCAATTAAATCAATGCACGCTTGTAAATCCAATCCAAAATCAATAAATGTCCACTCAATTCCTTCTCTTTTGTACTCTTCTTGTTCCAAAACAAACATGTGATGGTTGAAAAATTGCTGTAATTTCTCATTGGTAAAGTTGATGCACAGTTGTTCAAAACTATTCAACTGGAAGTGATTAAAGAAACATAGGGGAAAAAAGGGAAGGTAGTTATTAACATAAGTATTAATTAAATATTAGCAAAATCACATTAGAGATACATATTAGCTTTATTTTTCTGGGCATATCTTACAAATTTACTTATTTTTACTTAAAAAAAATAGAATATACTTTCGAAAAATATACACGAATAAAGCTAATATATAAGGTTGGATATAAAAAAACACAGGTTATTATATATTTACAAACATTAATATACAGTATGATAAAGGTTTAACGGTATCAGGGAGTCACACATTGTACTGGAAGGGATAAATAAAAAGATATTTAGGGAACTTAACTTCAGGAAGGTCAAGGATTTGGTAGGCACGGGTATAAAATAAATAAAATAAAAATAAATGTATTAACGATTTTTAAAAATTTGGGAAACAGTTAAACATGGGAATTTTTTTTAAAGGAAACCAAAAAAAAAAAAGAAAAATTATGGAGGAAAGAATACAAAAAATTAAATTTTCAAAACTAAAAATAAGGATTTTCACTCTGTTTAGGGTACAGTTAAGGGTAAAACAATAAAACGGGATTTAGGGAAAAAATAAAGGTGAAAAACAACAGGAATTTGGTCACACGAGGAAAAAATAATTTGGGATTTGTTAGAGGAAAAAAAATACGCGCATTTAAATAAATCGCATCTTTTTATTATTATTTTCTTTTGATTTCAAAATGGGCAGTTCTAAATTTAGTTTAAGTACATTTGTAGATTGCAGATGTGTTGTGTGATGTATTTTGTACAAAATGCTTTTAAAAATATCTAATGTAATTAAGTGTAAAATGTGTTTGATGCGAGTTAAAACTAAAATTTTTTAAATTGATTTATGGTTTATATAATATAAATTGTATAATATATATATATTATATATAGATAAACCAAATAAACTACAGAATCATATATAAATATATAATTATCATTTGTTACACAATGAGACCTTTCATTAATTAGGTCTATTTATATTTAATGTATACCAAAAGGCAAAAAAAAACTATATATTATTTAATTATTTTTTTGTTTCACTGAAAACATAACTTAAATAATAAAAATATACAATTTACATAACATTTTCACACAGTGTTATAAACTGTAGAATGAAATCTTAGGACAATTTATGTGTTTAAGTAAGTTTGTAAGACTACATTAACATTAATAATCAAAGAAAATAACACACGAAGCTCTCGAATTAAGTGTTTATTCCATTTATTTCTTTCACTCTAACGCTAAATTGTAAAAACAATTAAATTTTTATTTTACTAGTCGAATATTAATTAATAACAGAAAAGTAATGGAGACATTTCCTTGCTATTAATAGACACTTCAAAATAACTTCAGCATATTTATGCCAACTTTGGTTTGCTAGTTATAGCCTTATATCGAGTTAAATTCAACAAGAGTTATTTTATACAAAAAATAAAAAAGATCGTGTGTATAATTGGAACCTGCATTTTATGGACATTTTTATAATTGTAATGGGAATTCATTCCTTTTATTCTGCAGTTTATTAGGTCGTTCTATATATATATGCCTATATATTAATATTACCTTTAAAAATTAGAAAAAATGTTATTAAAATTATATAAAATGGCAATAGAAATTTTTCGCTAAATAAATAAATTCTTGAACGACTTACGTCGAAAATTTCGAAACCTGCAATATCTAATACACCAATGAAGTGTTGTCTCTTCTGTTTAGTATCTAAAGTTTCGTTGACCCTCTTGACCAACCATTTGAATAATCTGTCATACATTGCTTTGGACAAAGCACCCACAGAATACACAACCTGAGTGAAAAGTACACAGTTGTTGTTATGAAAAAATATTTTAAAAAAAACAATTAAATACACACGCTTTGAAAGATAGGAATTGTATGTCGCACCTGTTCTTTATTTCTTCCTTGTGTTACCATTTCGTTGCCGACTTTAATTTTCGGTTTCAGCAGATTTTTATACAAATCTGCCGCGTTTAATCCTAACAAATGAGCAACTTTTTCACCCTCTTCGGTACCGTCCGCTTCTGCCTGTTCTTCTCTTGGCCTTTGCTTGAATTTCATTTCACCTAAATGCATGACTGATGCGGTAATTTTATAAATGTTAGTCTTCTCTTCGTCCGTGAATCCCAAGACGTCGAAACCATTCTGAAATCATAATTAAATCTTTACAATATAATCTAACGTTCTGTTCGATCGGCTGGGATAGTGTACGTTTCTACGTCAATTTGACGTCGTTGCTCTAATTTTGCAATGAGAAATTGTGAAGAATGACGTCAGATTTACGTAAAAATAATGTGCACCATCCCAACCAATCGAACGAGTCTTAAATTTTCTATATTTTTTTGTTTACTTTTTGTTAATTATTATTGTGTTAATTTTACTTATTAATCTTACACATCTCTCTTTGTATTAATAAATTTATATTGTTATAGAGTTAAGTATAACATATTTTTGACCCGTTTCTCTCTTGGATCGCAAAGAGAGATTGACAAATTACTCACATCAGTGACTCCCATTTCTTCTTTATCATCCACACCAGGGATGTCTGTCTTACCCTGAGATACAAAATGGTAGTCCCGGATGTTATTGCTTAGTAACATTTTCTCTGTAAGAAAACAGGCACGAAGGAGGACACCGTTAGAAAGGTATAAAGGGATTACATATTACACTAGGATACATCACAGGTTTGCTCGCCATTGGAATCAGAAACAAATTACATTGGTTTCTACCACCATCAGTTACGATGATGATAATTTATGGACACAATACACTACTTAAACACAGTGGGATCTATGTGGTAAGTTATGGGAGGGTGTGGGGATTTTCTAAGATTGGAAAGAAAGAGTGCAATTGAATACAAAGATGGGAATGGGAATCTTTAAGTGGATTTATGATAAAAGGAATTCTACGTGGTGTGGAATAAAAAAAGAGGATTTTATTATTGGTAAGGGGAGATTATATTTGAATGGAAGAGGCACAAAATACGTTCCTCTTAGGAAGATATTAAGGGATATTTCTTGGAGTTTGGGATGGGTAATTTATTGTTATGAAAAAGTTGAGTAATGTACAATTCAGTGAACTATTTTCTAGAACTGTACAATATAAGAAGGAACTATTAAGGAATTTTTATGCCAGGTTTTAAAATACTGTATAAATTACAGGATTTGTTAATGTAAAATATTTTCTATATTCACTATAACATAATTTAGTATCATTTACAAGTAATGGATACTATAGAACGAGAGGATACGTAAGTTTGCTGAATTTCTGTGAACATAATACATCCCTTTAAGAAATTAAAGATGCGACTTTCAATATTCTGCAAGAATTAACAATTATAACAGGCCTACATGAAATTATGTAGGTCTAATATCTTTCTACACGACGAATTTCATAATAATACACAGAACACTTTGGTTTTAGTTACAGTTAAAGGAAAATAACTGTATTGTAAATAACAGCGGAAATGTTTTCTGAAAACAAAGTTGCTTAAGTGAATTATAGAAAATATTTATTGTACTGTTAAATCGTTCATTAGGAATTCGTTATTATGACATTTAATGAAGTATTCGGAGAAATATACACAAACATTAACACATAAACAATAGGATCTCTTCAACACAAGAAGTATATGTTCCCAGTTTGATTTAGGACACTCACAAACAATGATTTCATGACAATATTACATGTCTTTTTAAAACTTATTAATGAAAACAGCACTCTGGTTAATGGTATATCTATGTTAGTGGTCAAATCCTATGGACGGCTATAGGGACTTATTGAATAAAGGGTCTTCTCTATATATACTCACATCAGTTAAACTCATTTCTTCTCCATCATCCACACCAGGGATACTAGTTTTACCCTGAGACACATAATGGTAGTCCTTGATGTTATCACTTAACAAGAGAATTCCTAAAAGAAAAGGGTTCCAAAGGTGGTGTGAGTATCATGGGAATTAATCAGGATTTAATCCTAGCATGTAAAGGAAAAGTATATTATTACGAACGAGGTTTCATTTCTCTGAAATTACGAAGATTTCGGATTTGAACTATTAATTGTGTGGGAAAAAATAGAGGGAAACAATTCTATGTGCATATTTTGGGGTTTTATTTTGGATTGGGTCTAAGATAATTGGATAAGGAGTACTAAAATCTTCAAGCAGTTCTGGGTTTTCGAGAATAGTGCGTTAAAATTGGAAGAAACCAAAAGTATTTTGGTTTAGGAGATACACAAACATTTCATATGAACACATTGATCACATATATTGGTAAACAGATATAGGTGAATGTTCGGAGGAAAACACATCATAGAATAATTGCCACTGAGAACAGAGAGAGAGAGAGAAAACACATTTGAATTGGAACATCTATTTTCAGGTTGGACAACGAATAAAGCAGGAATTGTCTGATATCCATACAGACCATATAATGGGGACATCATTGATAATTTATTATACTCACATCAGTTAAACCCATTTCTTCACCATCATTTACACCAGGAATTTCAATTTTTCCTTGGGATACAAAATGGTAATCCCGAATATTGTCACTCAGACAAAGTTTTTCTGTTAATGGGTTGAAATATAAAAAAAAAATGAAGTTGAAATGATAATATAGTATATAAAGCTATATAAAGTATAGATTTTGATAGGGATTACGAGTATTTTCTAAATAGGAGAAAGGGAATTTAAAGTAATAATAATAATAAAATTAGTGTTATTGTAAGAAAATAAAATAAAATAAATAGAAAAACGTATGTACAAACACATCTTTTCATCCAAACCTCCTTACCTGGCGATTTAGTTTCATTCGGAATGATACACCTGACGAAATGGGGTGATGTACTTCTCAGAGTGGTCATTAACTTGTTCAATTGTTCCTATACGTTTGGAAACAGGAATAACCAAGGGAAAGTTTTATGAAAAGGATCTAAGCAATAAGCAATGAGTGTCAAAATGGGCTTAATTTGGACAGGAAAGCGTAAAGCGAAACGGTATAATAAATATATATTTTTTTTTTCTATTTTTTTTTGGAAGGAAATTATTATATTTGGCCATTTTTGGAAATTTGGAATAAGGTTTGATAAGGGGGATCTTGCGGATTTGGCATCCATGACGATGTTGCTCCCATTTCTTGATGACTGTTGCCAGACTAGCAAAGCACATCAGCCAGCTCTTCTATCCTACATTGCAGAGAGCGAAGCGATAGCCAACAAAGTTAGAAGCTATTCAAGCATAAAATACGCTTGTAAATGCTTATATCTAAAATAAATATATAAAATTGCTCATATTATTAGTTAGAATAGGCAAAGAATAGAATGTTTTCCGAGGATAAGAGAAAATTTGAGGAGAGAGGGGGGAGGTTTGTTTCTTCGGAGGTTTGAGGATGATTGGTGGGAAAGACTCCACAGAGACAATGTGTTCAGGCTTACACACTACATTATTATAATATAAGGAATAAAAGGAAAAGAAAGAGGAATATACCTGGGGATTTAGTTTCATTGGGGATGATGCACCTCACAAAATGAGGCTGAGTTTGTCTCAAAGTGGTCATCAACTTGTTCAGTTGTTCCTGTGGGATTTAGGATAGAGATAAAGATCTACTCTAGTAGGAATGGGAAGTATAGGTAGGCATATTATATCTATAAGTACTACTACTGTTACTAATAGTTTATAACTACACTATAAATTTACTATACTACTGAGTTTAGGAAAATTCTAAAATTATATAATCTACAACTATTCATAGAAAATAATAAAAAGAGTCTTACAAAATAAGTAGTCAAAAAGGATGGTGGAGAGCATTAAATTACATTTTATGTAATTTTTAATTGTTGAAAATATTATAAAAATAATGGATGCCCTCTGCAAGGTCTAAAAATACCCCAACAAAAAATTATGTATATAAATTTAATCTGTCTGATATCCCATTTTTACAAAATATATTACAAAAAAAAAATTAAATAAACTAACTAAAAATAATCTAAAGTTTAATTTCTAAATATCCTAAACACTATAAAAATAAAAATAATTAATGTTTCAAATGAATTAGTTACCCTGTACAATGCAGACACTGTTTGAAATCCAGAACCCTTCTTTCTTCCTCCTCCTCCTGAAGTGATGAAAGAGAAATAAATTAAAATAAATAAATAAGCCCTGTATTTTCATTGATGATGATGGTAATTATAAATATGAAAGTACCTTTCTTTGGATCATCAGATCCAAGACCTGGATGATCTTCAAAGATGCTAATTAATAATTTGTTAGATGCATGTTTGAACTGATCGACAACAGTATCATTCAGTGGATCTTTATTCTTCTCTAACCAGTTTGTCAAGTTGTAGGGAACCTATTTTATTAATAAATGGTTTTTATAGTCTTATATGTCTTACAAATTAATAATTTAACACAGTGATAGGTATATTTACAGTTCCTGCATAATGAACTATGGCAAAATGAGCATCTACTTGTCCAGGTTTCGGTGGTTTTGGCTTTACGAAATTTGGAGATTTTCCAAGGTGATTAGTTTTTAATTTTTCTTCAAAAGTTTTATCGGTGGCTTTGGGGAACATAGATTCTTCTTCCAGAATTGAAAGCACACCCATTGGCTATCGACATTATAACATGCATTAATATAACTTAATAAACTTTAAACAAAGTTTCTGTTAATTTAAAACAAAAATTATATACAGAGTTTATATTTCTTTACATATTCATGTAAATAAATCAAGAAACATTAATCACATGGGCATAAAGCCTTATATACTATAGCTTATACTTATGAAGTCGTTAGTAAAGTGCCATGGAAGCAATTAAAATACAATACATGGAAAAGCAACGACAAACCTTTTCTATCAGCTCAATACAAGCTTGTAAATCCAAACCGAAATCAATAAACGTCCAGTCGATTCCCTCACGTTTGTATTCCTCTTGTTCCAGTACAAACATGTGATGGTTGAAGAACTGCTGCAATTTCTCGTTGGTAAAGTTGATACAGAGTTGTTCAAAGCCATTATACTGTATGAGTTATGCGAAAAAAGAAAAGTTTGATGTATAGAAAGTTAAAAGCACGTGTTTGCTATTGTTAGTACAGCAATAGATATATTTCTTTGTGTGCTGGAAAGCGCAAAGCTGCTTATGCTGCGTAGTGCCCATTATTCTTTTACACAAGCGCCCAATTTCTCTCTGTTTTCTGTGTATTTTTTTTTTTTTTTTTACTTTCCTACCTTCTCAATTAAATCAATGCACGCTTGTAAATCCAATCCAAAATCAATAAATGTCCACTCAATTCCTTCTCTTTTGTACTCTTCTTGTTCCAAAACAAACATGTGATGGTTGAAAAATTGCTGTAATTTCTCATTGGTAAAGTTGATGCACAGTTGTTCAAAACTATTCAACTGGAAGTGATTAAAGAAACATAGGGGAAAAAAGGGAAGGTAGTTATTAACATAAGTATTAATTAAATATTAGCAAAATCACATTAGAGATACATATTAGCTTTATTNACCTACTCTTTTATTTAAAAAGTTTTTAAATTTATATGAATAATAATCCGCCATTTTGAACCATTTTGAACATATTCGCTTCCATTTTTTTTATTTTTTTTTATTTTTTATTTTTTTAATAAATTTTTTCTTGTTTTAATTTAAATATTTAAAAATTTAATTTAATTTCGGTACTTTCGCTAAATTTTGCCAGTGTATTTTAATATACAGTTATATATGGAAGAGTAGGTATATGCCGGTTAGAATGGAAGACAATTACTTACCTCATCCCCTTTAATTTCGACTGTAACCAAATCTCCTTTGGTACTAACGATGTTTCCTAGAAGGAAACCTTCTTTCTCGTCCGGTACCCATACCATTTTTTTCCCATCGTACGGTTTCGTTTGATCTTTTCGTTTCTGTTCCAAAGACACGAAAAGAAATGGATTTGGATCGGGATCTTCGGCAGCCATATTGACTAGAAGTTACGATTATTATTTTTCGATCGAAGGATTAAAATTTTGATGCACAAGGTCACAATAAATTAAACAGCTCCGGAAAGTATTACCTGAAGCAAATAAACAAAATACAATTAATATTTCACGAATACAGTTAATATTATAACTTAACTCTTAACGTCCGCCATTTTTTTTACGGAGTTTGCGGATGTGAAATTTGAAATGCCTTGCGCGTAATCAAGCAAGTAAGATAATAATTAACAAACAAATATAACTATTTTATAATTAATTAAAACACGATTCGTTTATAAAGCGTATATTAAATTACAAAGTATACAAGCATAAAATATGAATGGACAATGAAATTTCGATATTAAATGCCCTCTTTCATTAATAAGTAAATATTATTTTCGGCCGTTTTTAAACTCTGCCGTCATAAAAAATAACTTCTAGATATAAGCCTATATAATTTAATAAATGTTTTATATTGTTCTTTTTATTTTTGCGCGAGAAATTGAATATGGCTCCCTTCTTTAACCGCTAGATTTCTATACAAATTTGCTTAAAATATGATTTTTTTTAAAGCCTTATTTCTTAAATTTTAGCCTTACTTTTTACGTTAGCGCCGGGGTTTGTCGTTTAATTTAAAGCAAACTGACGCTTCCGATATTAAAATAAACATATTCTTAAGCTAACGTTCGGTTTACAAAAATATCGACCGCGCGCCGAAAGTATATTTTTAGTAATAAGAAAAATACATTTCTCGAGCTACAGAAATAATTTCTAAAAATAANTATTATTTTGCCATTAAAATTGCATTTTAATAGTGAAATAATAAAAAGAACAAGGCTACTCTTAAAAAATGCAAAAATAATCAGTAAATATTCAGAAGAATAAAAGCATATTCAAATTTCTGTGTTTATTATTCATTAAACATTGTAAATGCCCCATTGTATTATAATATTTACTTAGCTGCAATACTAATTTTATATTTCTTTATTCATTGACAGATGAAGTTTTAATATAGCAACACATATTTGAAATTTTACACAACATTAAACTCTGTAATACTGACCTTGTGTTTCTTTTTGATGTTTTTGGCTGGAATTTAAAAAAAAAATACATGATTCGGAATTATCTTTCTTGCATTTTATCTTGTTTATATATAACTCAGAATAACCTGAATTGTAGTGCTGATGCTTTAAGGGATTTTTATTTCTGTTCCTGCAGAGATAAAGGTCATTTTACGGCACTTGTAAAACCTCGATATATCGTTCTCTCGTTCGTCTCTGAAATAGGCACTTAATCGAGTGTTTGAGTCATGTGATTGGGTTATGAGAATGTCTTTTACAATGCAAAATCCTATATTTAGTAATTCAGAGATAACGATGGATGCTGCTAGAAGGAGGAAAGTCAGTTTACGAGCATTGGCGCTATATAGAGTATTTGCCTGTAATTTGGTTGGATTTCTGTTGTTGTTAATCAATCCACATTTACAAAAACTTTATTGTTTTTTAGACGTATCCTTTAGATATTTAGTTTAAAAAGGTTATTTTTTTTCCACATATTTCTATTGTCTTTTCGGATCAGTGTAAATTATACTGCTTTTTACTTTGTGTTATGAGCCTAAAGAGCATCTTTACATTATTAAAGTAGTCAAGAAATGCTCTCATAAAGCATTTACAAAAACTAATAATAATAATTACTTTATTTCAGTATTGTATTTCCGTATATTTTTTTTTTACTGTATCTAACAATACTTCTATTCTTCTAAATACTACTTTAAACTCAAAGAACATTTTTAATCTTGATAGAATATTCTAACATATCTCATTTCGTTCTTTCAAAATTTAAAAATGTGTATTAATATACTNAGATATAATTTTATATGCTTGTGTAATGCTTTAATTGCTTAAAATAAAAATAAAATAAAATAAAATAAATAGCATGCGAGTTATGCAAAAATATAAAGCAAGCGAGTACTTACGTAAATAAGATTGCTATAATAGCGTTCTTTTAAGTTGTATAAGACACTAGCATCATTGAGGTAGGTTAAGTTGGACATATCCTCTGTTTTTTCAAATTTTGGAGGATTAAGTTGTTGTAGTAGGTCCTTTTTGAGTGATCTCTGTATATTGGAATGGGGGTTGGGGTGATGAAAGGATATTGGGTGGTGTGAAAGTGGGGGAAGTGCCATTGACAGAACACCACGTGGGTAGGATTTGAAAATTGTAGGTAATTTTTTTTTTTTTAAAGAAGTGAAAGGAAAGGAAGGGATAGAAAAAAGTACACATTAATTAAAATAGAAATGGTAATAAAAATCTACTCTACTTACATAAATTAAATTTTGATAATAACGATCTTTCAAGTTGTACAACACACTGGCATTGTTCAGATATGTTAGAGAGGACATATCGTCACATTTTTCGAACTTAGGTGGATTTACTTGCTGTAGCAAGTCCTTCTTCATTGTTCTCTATATATATATATATATATATATATTTACAACGTTACCTTTAAGATCTGCAATTTGGCCTGATGTAATCTGGTAAAAAATGTGATATGATCGCTCTAAAGGTTGCTGAGAAATCACACGAGCTTTTTCAAGCAAGTCTAAATAATCAAAAATATTATAATACTTGTTCAAATTTAATAACTGAGATTTTTTTAAAACTCTTACTCACATGTTTCTATGTCAGCACCAGCCAATTTTCCCATAGGACCGAAGTGGATACGGATAAATTTACCCTTGAAAAACAGTAAACAAATTGTAAAAATCGTAATTAAAAACAATTGAGAGGCCTTTTTTTTTAATTAGTAAACTTACAAATCTGGAAGAGTTGTCATTTCTCACAGTTTTGGCATTCCCAAAAGCTTCTAATACTGGATTAGTTTGAATAACTTGATCCTCCAAGTTACCCTTAAAAAATATCATATAAATAAGTAAATAAATGACTCAAATAAAGTGTATATTTATAAATTTCGAATCATTATTAAGACTTGAAGCATGCAAATTTCAAAGCATTATTCAATATTCAGACTTCATACTGAATTCTGCTAATTATGCCACATGTACATGTACACATTTATATGCATTTAACGTTCTAAACATCACACTTTTACAGAACATAGTCATGCAGAATACATTTATAAAGCATCTAGTTGCATGATAAAAAAAAAATATATATATATTATTAATGTGTTTATCAATATTTGTATGTCTTACTGAGAAACTAGTGTTTGATGGGTTATTTTTTAAACTGTTGTGTGTTAAAATGGCACAGAGATAATCTATTTCTGCGCGCACACGCGTAGAAGTAGACACATAAAATAAGCTTAAACACTCTGAACATAAACTTGGATTTATATGTAAACCTGGAAGCTATAATTTTACATTATTTTAGTGAACACACAGTTTTCTACTAGCTTAAAACAGTGTTATGATAGGTTACAAAGATCCACAACATATGAAACGTTTCTCTGACAGTTTTTGCCCAAATACAGGACAAAAAAGTTTAAACTTAAACATAAAATACCAGTTCTTAAAGTGGGAAACATGTTAATTTTATAAACATGCATTAATATAAAACATATAAAGGATTTTTCTATACCAACAGGTAACATCTTTGGGAGTAAAGAGTGAAGATCACCTTTGGATTGAATACTCATGCTAATTACCATGACAGCGCCTTTTGGGGATAAAAATATAGTAGATTATTTACGATTTTTATAAATTCAAAAACAATACGAAGTGAATAAAACATAATATAAACCAATACAAATTGGTATGATTGATAATAAGCTGTTGAATTGCCCAACTTCATTGAAATAATAACTTTTTTTGAAGTTATTTCTTATAAATTTTGATCTAAAACATTAGTTAGGAGTTGAGTAACGAAGATGAAACAATTTTTAAATCTTTACAAATTATAAAATGAAAGGTTATCATAGAATAATAGACGCTATTGATTTACAGGTTGGGTGGGAAGTAACTAGGCATTAAAAATTTGCTATAATTTCTACATTTCAAACACTAAAGGTGAGGAAAATCATTTCCGTATACTTTATTAAATGGAAATACGGATGCATTAATGTAAAATAACCTTAATGTAGACACCTGCGCAATCTATGCCCGCTCATTCCTGGACAAGCAGCCGGCCATGTTTTCTCCCACTGCACGTGCAGCCTCTCTTGATCATCGCGACATCATCGATGCAAGAATTATAAAATTCCACAGATTGATATACATTCACACGCAAATTTTATTACGACTGCTTTATTAGTACAAAAATTAAAGCGATTTCTCCATGCCTAGTTACTTTCCGCCCACCCAGTATATTTTAATAATTTCATTTTATAATTTTAATTTTTCTCCATCAAATAGCACTTCTGACTAACTTGTCATCAGATACGTGCATAATTTCCGTAGTGATACTGTAGGCACTGTCGTGGAATGGGATGTTTTAGGGGAGGTAACGCATGCAACACTTTTGTTCTTTCACTCCGTGCAGGGTCGTTTTTTTTTGTTATTTTTTCTACCTTTTTAGATCCCTCTTTCTTCTCTTTTCCGGCTTTTTGCGAAACGGCACCGACGTTAGCAAAATAAGCGATTACTTTCTTCGTATTTTCCGTTTTTCCGGCACCAGACTCTCCACTGACGGGGGGAAAAAAGAATTAAAAAAAATTTTTCTCCTCTCGTCCTTCTAATCATAATTAAGAAACTTTGGATCAAGATGGAAGGAAGAAACTGGATAAGTTAGAAGGGATTTAATTACTGTGAACTCTTTTAAAGGGTAAGGAAAGTATATTTTTAGGAAAACAGACTGCTTGTCAGGCTATTTTTAAACAGAAAAATATGATGTGCAGTCCGTCAGAATTTCACACACAAAAGCCTTATTATACTGGTGATAAATGGTGACTACTTGCTGCAAGACTGCACATCAACAACTAAATCATGAATGTAGTGAGGAGGTTGGATGTTAGTATTAATAATAGCGTGATTAAGATTAAAAAAAAATAATAATAATAATAATAATAATGAAAAATATAGCATCGGGTTAAAGGAATGTAGGATTCGGAAGTTGATATAGCATGCAAATTTCTCAATTCAAGATGCAAAATTGTCCTGATAAGGTAAAACAAATCCAGTCGCGTTCAAAATTCGCAATTGTTTTCGAGGCCAGTTATTGTTTTTTTTCTGTTTTATATAATAAACTTACACCACTGGTGAATTTCTTTTTTAAGCCCGAAGGTGCTATATGGGCGAAATATTGAATGACTTTCTTTGTATTTTCTGTTTTTCCTGCACCCGATTCACCACTGATAGGGAAAAAAAGGACACTGGCCTTTTAAAAAAACCATCACCAGAAAAATACAAAAAAAAATAATTAAATANACATTTGCATCTCCAAGTAATAAAATTGTATGTCAGAACAAGACTTTTATATGGAAACGTTATATAAATGCAGAAAGCAAAATCCAAAGGTCTGCTAAACAACACCAAAAAAAGGCAAGAAAGTAGCAAGCTTAATATGCTTGCACATCCAGACATTAAAAAATTTATAATTATAGTCTATATATATATATATATATATATATAGCTCTCTTAATGCAATGTTTTGCTTAAACCAGTGTAAATATACACGTTATTTAATATCTAGCTCTACACTAGATGTATTGTAATACCCACATTGATTTTGTATTGAATAAAAAAGCAAAAATGTATTTTGTTACTTGTAAAGCATTGGTATTTTTAAAAAACTTTAGTTTTGTAGAAGCATATTTATAACGAAAAAAAATTTCTAACAATTTTCATATGGATGTTTAGACTTTTCTTCTTTACTCGGAAAATATCATGGTAAAAACATGTTTATTTGCCTGAGGAGCAGCCATGAGGTAAAGTAACGATTTAATTGCTTGTAGAATCCTTTTTCTCTAATTAGTTTTGTCATACGTCTGACTTGCGAGTTGCGCTGCCTTATCTCTATATACCTTGCAGACAACATCTGGAGAACAAGAAAAAATGAAGACAGATGAGCAAGACCAAACGTCACATATCTGAGAAAATCGTACTGCGAAAGCGCAAACTCTAATAGATACGTTGACGAAATTTGACCTGTATTACCCGAACCAGACCATCAGGCAATTAGTCAGAAGGGAGAGAAAATTGTAAACAAGGTTGTAAAATACTTAGCGGGCTCTAGAGATATGTGGTTCGTTTAGTATAAAAGCCAGGTGTGTGTGACTAATGTATCAGGGAATCTTTACAAATTAATTTTCTTTTGTTTTGTTGGAAAATTTGAAATTTTATTATAATTTTAAATTTGCAATGAACAAAAATTTAAACAATGGTTTTATTTTATGTTTTTGATCGAAATCGAAAAACAGATTGAATGTAGCGCAAATTTTAAGCGAGATATTACAGTTGTATCAGTAAAAGTGGTTTACCTGCATAACACCGCATTGTTGATAAGAGAACGCTATTATTTATATATGTCGAACAATATGTATAAAATAGTGACAGTCAATTCTCAATTTAGAATCATGTAAATAATAATTATTAAACAAATAACTAAATTAAGACAATATTCATCTACATAAAGCAAACATCAATTTCACTTACGCGAATGAATTCCCTGGATCTCACAAACCCAGTGTATTCACGCAGTGTTTTTATAAAAATTGTGTATATGTATATTTTTCACTGGCTTATTATCAGCGAAAGGTTTTAACTGTCCTACATTCCCCGAACCGCACTAATCCCCGCGGTTAGTCAGGAAGGGAGAAAGAGTAGATTGTAAACAAGAAACTTTACTCTAGAGAGGTGCAATTTGTTTTGTATAGAAGAAAACACAGATTAACTGTAGAAGAAAACGTACATGAGTGAACTTTGTTTCGCTCTTTGTAAAAAAGGTATATTTCCTACAGATTTCAAATTTTTTGAGTGTAATCTTTAGACACTTAAAAGAAGGTACTGAGAACGGTATTTTTCAGCATTTAGTAGTCGAAAAACTACACGAATTTAAAAAATGGCTGATGTCTCGAGGGTCACCGCTCTCTTAACCGACATTTTTCATGCGTAATCACATCTATCACATTTTTGAATTAACCTAGATTTTTGTGAAAAATTCATTGCATAAAAATACCAGTTAAAATAACCCCCAAATCTTTAAAATACTTAATTTTCCTACTTTATTGAAAGATATTAAAAGTTAAAACGTTAACAAAATCCCCAATACCCTGAAACCTTTCGATTCATACATTCTCCATTTACAATACAGACAAAATGCAACTTGCATTTTGCAGTAAACTTCTCTTGTTACCCTTACAAAGACAAGAAATCTTAAATATCATATCTAAGCAACGTGATAGCTATATGGAATTATAGTTATAATATGCTATTTTCATAGATACGTATATTTGCAATCACAGTAAATATACTTAAATAGGCTGTTATGTACAGTACACATAACAAGGGAAAGTACAGTATTGGAATCGTGTCAAATTTGGCCCTCTGAGATTTTTGCAAATCTCCACGTTTTGAGACCTTTTGAACCCCCAAAAATACAAAAAAAAATCTCTCTGTGTGTGTGTTGGCTTCTATTTCGTTTAATATCTCAGGATGGGGTAAAGGTTAAGAAACAAAATTTGGCATGGTAATTTGTATATAAGGGGAATTGATGATATTAAATATTGGTGGATAAAGGTCGAGGGGATGGATAGATACAGGGTGCTGACGTATCTCGAGTGGGATCTGAATTATTAAAGATTTTATTTATTGTTATAATTTACAGTTTTTAATTTTTAACACTCATCTCTGTCCTCAAAATTAAACCTTTTGCCATTTTACAATAATCAAAAATACAGAAAGTTTTAATAACATAACAAATGACGCGCCATACACAATTTGATTTAATTATTACGTTTAATAATACAAAAGTTATTTCTTAAATAAACTCTCATAACAGCCGGGAAAGCTATGCAACTCATTGTTAGATTTTTTGTCGGATATATAGTATACACGTGTAATGCAATTAAGATGCAACTATGCGGATGCGAATCTAATAGCGAGCGAGAAGTAAATCTATTATTTTAGGAAAAAAATTGTATTCTGGATTCGTGATTTAGTACTAAAATAGATCAAAAGATGTCGCTAAGTGTTTTAAAGCTTGCTTATTTGGTAAATACACATACTGTAGTAAAGTAAATAAATCTATGAACAGAAATTATTATGTATTTTCCAATATTTTTATTTCATTTTTCTATTATACATTTTCTATAATGTAAAATACAATCTTTAATTTATCAAAAATCTTTAAGTTTGTAGTGAGTTTGGGCATAACGAGATTGAGACAATAGTATTATTATTATTTAAGGGAAAAAAGTATAGCTAATGGATAATTTATCTGTTCAATAAAAAGTTTAATAATATAAATATTATTTAGAGAGTGCATAATGTATTGTACATCTCTAGCATTTCGGCACTAAAAATTCCGCTGGTGGACAGTAAATAACTTTTAAAAATTGCCAACAGTATTGTTTTTAATCAATTTTTATTAATGTTTAAAAATTTTAAGCTAATATTTATATTGAAAATGTTTAAAAAATATACCCCCTCCCCGATGCCGTAAATCTATTACAGTATATTCCTCCTCTTTTTCTAAATTGCATACAACTTGTTATTTATCATTGTAATAAACGTTACAGTATATAATTTTTTATAGAAATATTTTAGTATTATTTTTAAGTTGAAATCTTAATTCTTTTTAACTTTATAAAGTTTATACTTACAGAATTCATAGTTTGGGCATTTAGATGGATTTCATGGCTCTAAAAGAGAAGATATTGACTGAGAGCAGTGATTTCGGCTACGTACCACTATAGTAACGAATTATTTTAAACTTATACATTTTCCTGTAAATTATATATTTCGGATGAATTCTCCTACTTAAACTGTGGTAAGTGCTGCACGGATAGTTTGCACAAGATATTTTTGAGGGGGTCATTCGGTACTTAACAAAACTTTAAGAAGAGGTATACGGACGTCAAATCGTTGAGAAACACTGCCTTAGATGACAGTTTCTTTAAAAAAAAAAAAGACATTCACTTTATGGTTGAAGGTCTCTTAGAGGATTATTGAAAAAGGGTGAGGAACGTCATATAACTTCCTAATTGACAACTAATTTAAAATAAGATTAAGCATCTTAAAAGTTAGCTCCAGTGCAAAGTTAATTTAAGTTTCCGTTAATAACTCATGTGTCTTTTGTTAAAAATTTCTGAAATTTTGCAAGTTACATTTTGATCTATATATAAATTATTAATGTTTTTTTTTTCTTTTTTTATTTTAAAACCTTTAAATTAAAAACATCATAATTTTTCAGTACTTGTACTGTACCTGATTAATTAAATTTGTACCTGAAAATTAATTTTTCTGATTAATTAATTAAGAAAGTTGTCACTTTTGTCAATAGTTTACATTATTTTTTATTTTATTAATTACGTAATCCCGACGTTTTCTATAATATACATTCAGAACTTCATAGAGATGAGTTAAGCCCAATCACAAATATGTGACTCCAGAAAGCCATCAAAAATATTTTAAAAATTAATAAAAACAGATTATCATCACTTATGATAAAAACATTTAATTTATATTAGTTTTATATCATATTTCTCATATAAATAAATTAAATTTTAGGAATTTATGTTGTCTGGATCCCAAGATAAATAGCCCTACTGGGTCTATCCTGCCTTGTATTATCATTCTGTACTTTGAATTAAATTAACTGCATTTAAAACATTTAAATAAAAGCAAGTAAATTTACTTGAATATATTTTTCTATAAGTTAAATTAATAAAGAGTTAATTTATAAACAAGTTTTATAAGTTAATTTTGCTGTACCATTGGTAGTATAATTCAAGTTATATTATTTATTTAAATGAATATTTCTGATATTAAACTTTAATTTTAAAATAAATTAAAAATTTTATTATAAAAATTAAGGTTTAATATGAGAAATTTTTCTTAAAATATTACACAACACACACACATATATATATTTATTTTAAATAGATAATTTAAATAACCAGTTGAGCTCTAATTATAACTTAACTAGTTTTACTACTTTAAAAATAATTTAATAATTAACAAAAATATATATA